TCCCAAACTACAAACATGGTTATTGCTAAGCTCTGTTGCTGGGGAACATGTCCAAGTGATTCAAAATACTCAGAATAATTGCTGAAACAGTACTCAGCAGTAGCAATGTGTTGACTGTTATTGACTGCGGACTGTGCTGGTTATTCTCCAAAAACTTTCGCAGCTGACCATTTCCCCCCGTCAATACATCCAGCGAACGATGCTTTCCCGAACTATTAAAAGCAATCGCTAACTCGCTGAAGAAGAACGTGACGTTTTATACCGCTTTGCTATAAGCCGGCCTCTACATTTTCACCACTGCTTGAGTTTATAAATCGAAGTATAATCAGATGGATGATGCTCAAAAGATGAGTCTGGGACGCCATCGTTTTTAGTGAGAGCGTCTGTTGTTAAATTTATGACTGAGAGAAGCAATAGTTTAACCAGACAGTGTTAGGCTATTTAAAACTCTATTTTAAAAAACTTTAAAAATAGATAAATAAAAATGTTGTTTTTATAATAACATATTTTTGTTGTATTGTCAAAGCAAAATAGTTTTACTGGTCAACGGAAGATTTTATATTTGTAGTTTATCTTTGACATTTTTTAAAAGTTTAAATTTGAAAGTATTAATTTTAATTACATTCCTAATAAATCCGTATTTTATAAGTTGAATATGTAGTCAATAGATTATAGTAAATAATCCTAGCTTCTTTGGTATTGGACTTTGCTATTAATAAAAGAGATGTCTGAAGTAATAAAATAATGCACACTAAAGCGAGGTAAGTTAGTAACATGAAATCAACAACATTAAATCGGGAACTTTAGAACTGATTCGCTTGGGCTACGAATTAAATCTGGTACGACTACGAGATTTTTCGTTAAATATCTGCTACTACAGACTTTCTATCGTCCTTTCTTTTGCATACCCTTTCTTTATAGCAACAGTTACGCCAAACCATGGACTATTATAATACAGTAGACACTGCCTATGATAGAAACGACATGACAGTCGATACTAAAGTGACGAAAAAGTGTATATTTCTACTTCCAAAGCAAAAATATTTTGCACTGGCACTTCAGGTAAAGCGAAAAGTACAAGGTGTGTATGATTCCGCACAAATAAACTGTAAACAAACGATCAAACTGTCAAACTAACTCACAGGAAGCTCTTAATCGTAATACTATTTATATTAAATGTTGCCAATGTTTGTCTGAGTCTTGGCGGGGGGTCGAATTTTCGTGACGTCAATTGCGGACAACGCTATTACCACGCACGCCCCACGAATACCCACGAATAAATACATGTCACATGATCGATATTTAGGTATTTAGATATATTTGATCTGGACAACCTTTTTGGCAATGACTGTATATATATATATATATATATATATATATATATATATATATATATATATATATATATATATATATATATATATATATATATATATATATATATATATATATATATATATATATATATATATATATATATATATATATATATATACGAGTAGGTTTGTGTATACGAAACGCAAAGAGTGCTCAATATCATAAAGATAGAGCAAATGTAGAATTTCGCTTACCTCAAAATTCCGCAACAGTCTGTTTCATCAGTAAAGAATCATCAGGCGGTATGACCATACCGCCTGATGATTCTTTACTGATGAAACAGACTGTTGCGGAATTTTGAGGTAAGCGAAATTCTATATATATATATATATATATATATATGATAACTTTTCTAAGGTTTGTAGCTGATCTAGTTAATTAAAAACATTTTATTTGAAATAAAAACTAGTAAAATTAAAAACTAAATTTTCGGCTGCGAGCTGCAAGCCTTCATCAGAGTATATGGCAAGAGTCATTACACCTCTATATATAATGTTTATCGTTCCGCTTGATTTCATCTGCTAATATAGAATAACAAGCCGGAAATTCAGCATGTTCATTAGCCGTGTTTTCACTAAGAGTGTTTATTTACATCTATCCCCGTTGATTTGGCACTCCAGATTGTTAAGGAAGAGCTAAACAATACAACGATTTGGACACAACATACTGGCTTATCTGCAGATCATATCTATGGTTTGCTAAAATTTGTTTTGAACAACAGTTATTTCATGTATGAAGATTGTTATTATCAGCAAATATTTGGATGTCCCATGGGTTCGCCAGTGAGTGCGGTAATTGCAGAATTAGTCATGCAGAGAATAGAAACAACTGCCCTGCAAACATCTCCCGTTTGGGTGCGATGGTGGAAAAGATATGTAGATGATAGCAACGCCTGTGTAAAACAATCGGACATTTCAATATTTCACAATCATCTAAATACTAGCCTATCAACCCACATATACAATTTACTCTTGAAATGCCTGTTGTTACAGAGAATCAGCAAACCATAGCGTTCCTGGATACCGAAATTATAACCACAACATCTGGTGATGTTAATGTTAGCGTATATCGAAAAAGTTCTCACACGGACAAATATTTGTTATATAATTCACATAACCATGTGAATGACAAGAAAGCTGTAGTAAAAACATTATTAGATCGCGCAAAAACAATCCCAACGAATTCCGTATTGCAAGCCCAAGAGACTGAAAATGTGATTGAAACATTAAAATTAAATGGCTATCAAAAGCGTTTCATTGAGAAAGTTGTTGCGAACAACCATCAGACTAACACAAATGCTGAGTATGAAATTCGTGGATCGACATGTCTTCCTTATGTTAACGGGGTTTCAGAAAAAGTAAAAAGTATTTTAACCAATGCAGGAGTTCGGGTCGCGTTAAAACCAGTACTAACTTTAGGGAATATTTTTCGCAAGCCCAAAGCAAGACCGTCAGAAGACAGAACAAATGCTATTGTATACAAATACAAATGCAGAGAATGTCCATTTACATATATCGGTGAATCAAAGAGATGTTGGGCGACAAGGTGGTTAGAACACAAACCGGGAGTTAGAAAGAGAATTTTTTCGACAATAAAGGAACACGCTGAATGCACTGGTCACAACGCTGCAAAATCAGACGCTGTAATATTAGAAAAGGGAGTTAAGAACTACGAACAAAGGATTTTCTTAGAGGCTTTACATTCCACTCTTAGTGAAAACACGACTAATGAACATGCTGAATTTCCGGCTTGTTATTCTATATTAGCAGATGAAATCAAGCGGAACGATAAACATATACAGGGTGTATAAAAAAAAAACGCAACCTTGGAATTTCCTAAGAAATCACTTTGCAATTTTTAAGCATAAAAGATTTTAGGCCCCTGGGAATTGAAATCGCATTGCAAATAGATCATATTACTGTTGTTGTGCATTAAATAAATGCATAAATTTTGCTTTATGCATTCGCGTGTGCAGTAATTTTGACAGTTGTGCTATTTTAAATTCCCAGGCGCCTAAAATCTTTTGTCTTTAAAACAATGTCGATTTCTTGGGAAATTCCGAGGTTGCGTTTTTTTTTATACACCCTGTATAGAGGTGTAATGACGCTTGCCATATACTCTGATGAAGGCTTGCAGCTCGCAGCCGAAAATTTAGTTTTTAATTTTACTAGTTTTTATTTCAAATAAAATGTTTTTAACTAGATCAGCTACAAACCTTAGAAAAGTTATCATGTATTCTACTGATCGCCTCAATATATATATATATATATATATATATATATATATATATATATATATATATATATATATATATATATATATATATATATATATATATATATAATATATATATATATATATATATAGGACGACAAAGTAGGATGCGTATGTGGGACACACAAAATATTATAAAAGTGACAAAGTAGGTCATATCTCGAATACGCATGCGTACTACATGTCGTAGTTTCAAAGCAGCGTAAAGAGCCATGAACGGACTATGACTTTAGTGTGTCCTGCTCTTAGCAACTATGGACAGCTGTTTCACCCTTTTTGGGCTCATCAGCACAGTGTAGCTAATGGATGAGCTGCATCTCCAAATATTTATAGGACGACAAAGTAGGATGCGTATGTGGGACACACAAAATATTATAAAAGTGACAAAGTAGGTCATATCTCGAATACGCATGCGTACTACATGGCGTAGTTTCAAAGCAGCGTAAAGAGCCATGAACGGACTATGACTTTAGTGTGTCCTGCTCTTAGCAACTGTGGACAGCTGTTTCACCCTTTTGGGGCTCATCAGCACAGTGTAGCTAATGGATGAGCTGCATCTCCAAATATTTATAGGACGACAAAGTAGGATGCGTATGTGGGACACACAAAATATTATAAAAGTGACAAAGTATCCATTAGCTACACTGTGCTGATGAGCCCCAAAAGGGTGAAACAGCTGTCCACAGTTGCTAAGAGCAGGACACACTAAAGTCATAGTCCGTTCATGGCTCTTTACGCTGCTTTGAAACTACGACATGTAGTACGCATGCGTATTCGAGATATGACCTACTTTGTCACTTTTATAATATTTTGTGTGTCCCACATACGCATCCTACTTTGTCGTCCTATAAATATTTGGAGATGCAGCTCATCCATTAGCTACACTGTGCTGATGAGCCCAAAAGGGTGAAACAGCTGTCCACAGTTGCTAAGAGCAGGACACACTAAAGTCATAGTCCGTTCATGGCTCTTTACGCTGCTTTGAAACTACGACATGTAGTACGCATGCGTATTCGAGATATGACCTACTTATATATATATATATATATATATATATATATATATATATATATATATATATATATATATATATATATATATATATATATATAGTATCTGGTATCTGGTATCTGGTAACGGTACAAGTATGTGATAAATATTTGCAACTAATTGGTTCTGCATATCGTATATAATTAGCTGCTTAATTAGATTAGCTCTATGTATTGGTCCTGCATATCGTGAGAATAAATGACAAATTGACAATTCACGACAATTTCTCGGTTAGCTTTCCAGTTTCCCAGTTTTGCCAAACCGAAAATTCGTTTTTGAAGAAAAACACGTGATATCTACCAGTTTACCAATAAACCGTCCCAGCCTGCTGTACATGCACTGTACGCCAATGTTAAATAAGCAATAATGAGTGTACAAACCGTGTTCTTCCATTCTAGGATCATTGATAACATGCCTGTGACATGGTGTTATCAAGTGAGTACCACTGATGCACGTAAAATTTACTGTTCAACTGGGTTCCCTATTGGTTGTTATGTCGATAGTGCAGGAACTGCGAAAGATGCTTGTGTTATCCAGGTAAGCGGAAAAATGGCATTAGCAAACTAGCAATAATACTGTAATGATTGTGTGAGATGATGTGTTTAAGCAGAATTGTATGAAATAATAAGAGGCGAAATATAAGAGGTGGACCATTAGATATACTGGGAAGGGAAAGGGGGGATTTTCCTTGCCATAATTTTTAAGTTCGTAGCTTTGTGGAATTTTTTTCCAAATATTTCTGTATATTCCCTGTACTATAGTTGCAGGAATTGTTCCTCCGAATACTATACAGTATCTAATATGGTCACCCCCTAACAATGTAAATGCCTTGTATTAACTTTTATGAGTGAAAGTGTTATGTTATTGTACAGTACATTCTCTTTTATCCTGTAGTAGTAACTCTATAGTACAAGCAACAATATTCCCTGAAAGACACTCACTTACAGTACATGTACTTATTTTCAAGGTTATAGATATATAATGTTCAGCTGTTGACTAGACCTCTCTTAGACCTGCTTTCTGTTATTTTGTAGCCAAAGTTATACAATGAGAAGGACACGTATTATATATTTAATCATGTTAGAATCACTTTAAAATATCATAATGGTGCTGGTGAGGATTGGGATGGAGCACGTTTGGTCTCTGCCCAACTTTGGCCCAGCAGGTAATTTTCCGTAACGCTTAGCCTTAGGCCTAGCAAAAATTGCCTGGAAAATTAGGGTATAGGTACTGTAGATCTGCATGGAGTACAGTACTGTACAGTACAGTACAGTACAGTACAGTGCATTACATTACATTACAAATACAATACGATACGATGAGATAACATACGATACAATACAATAGGATAGGATAGGATACCATATCATACCTTTTTTATTTGTGCATGCTTAGTGATATTTTTTATTGCCTCCAATCTGATTGACTGCAGGAGCGGGCAGCTTTTTACGATATCTTGACCGTGGTCCAAAAGAGTTATTTTTGTAGCGACAAACCGACGAGTGAAGACAATTTTTCAAACTCAAAACACTACTCAAATTAACTAAGTCGATACTAATTATAGTAACATACAGTACAGTGAATTGACTTCAATAGACCAAAATGCGAAAAAACCCCGAATATAAACAGCGAAAAAACACTGGCCAGTGCTACATGTTTTGATTCAAATGCTCCACATATTACTCAGCTGTTCCTCGAAAAATATACAAATAAATATAAATACTACAACATACAACTTGCCCTTAAACGTAAAAATTTAAAAACAATACCTTAATATAAACGGCAGCTTAAGCACGATCCCTGGGCTTAATTAGCTCAAAATTGATTTTATAAATGTTCTATAAATGAACATTGTTTTCGGCAACTAAAATTTGTAGTTGTCTGTCAAAAAGCATTTTTCAAGCATGTCCATGCTGTAAAACGATCCAGAAAATAAATAATTTTACTTAGTTTACTAGTCAGGCAGTTAGAGGATCAAAATTATGGAAAACTTACGATATCGTGGGACAATTCCATTTTGCCTTCATATTGAGCCCTGAAGGCTAGTAAGTACGTTTCTGTATGTTGGCGGCGTCAAAATTTCTTGTGGGCTCCTGCCGACACGTTTTTCTTCGAATTTTGTATTAACCTCTATTACAGTTAAAAAATGTGAAATTTCTGATACATTTCTAATACAAATGACTTGTATCAACAGACAGCTAACAAGAAACTACATATAAAACATTTAAATGGTTAGTTGGGATTTTCAAGCGATTTTCGAGTTATTGCTGTTTCAAATGTGAAAAATAAGCCAAAATCTCGCAAAAAATCCTGGGTACTAGTCTGAAAATACGCTTTCAACAGCTCATAACTCAAGAAGAACTTGAAAAACCCTGGTAACCGTTTAAATGTCTTGTATGTAGTTTTTTGCAAGCTTTCAAATGATGTAATTTGTGTTAGAAATGTATTTAAAGTTTCACATTTTTTTACTGTGATAGAGTTTAATACAAAATTCGAAGAAAAAAGTGTCGGCAGGAGCCCACAAGAAATTTTGACGCCGCACAATATGAAGGGAAAATGAAATTGTCCCTTGAATTGAAGTTTTTTCCTTCTATCAGCAGGCCTTAAAATATCGGTCGGTCACGGACATTGTCCGACCCATTCGTGAAATTGTCCGACGTAGAGAGGAAACCACCGGACATTCTGTCCGACCAAAGTGAAGCTGAGGTTTATTGTTTGTCCGACCCGAGTGTATTGGTGTCCGACCGAACTGTAGCTTTGTCCGCCGTAAATCAAAATGTACCCTAGCCCAGGGCTAGAGGCTTGTATGTTAAATATGGAAAATCAGAGTACTATTGTGTAAAGGTGAACTGGAAATGTTGTTTTAACGTAGTCGAGCGCGGGGCGGCGAGCGAAATGGTGAAGTGGAAAACGGGCTTAAGTTGTCGAAGTCTTTTTTAATACTGCTGTTCTGGCAAGCAAGTTAATTTTGGCTTGGAAATAAGTATGAAAGAAACAAAGTATTTAATATCTTTACAACATTTACCGTTTATTCATTTGTGTCGGCACTCAGACTTATTTCCGAGTCAAAACTGAACTGAAGGTCATCGGACATATGTCCGACCCAAACTCAACGTCACCGGACATTTTGTCAGACGGTCCTGTAAAAGATATTTTAAGGCCTGTCTATCTGCCCGACTATACCTTATGTTGTCTTGTTGAGACAGTTGAGTAGAAAAGCATCTATTGCAATGAAACTAAAAGCTTTTTTCAGCTTTTATCGCGTAGTTTTAGCAGTTTGTCAGCCATACTTGCACAGTTGCACTATAAAGTAACAGACCCAACTGATCTCAAATGTACTTCGCAACTGGAATTTTATCTGAATTTCATTATAACCATGAACCATCAAACAAAAAAATAAACACGTTATTTACCGTTTAGGTCGGTCCGTTTTAAAAAAATATTTTCCCTTGGCCTCAGAAGCGTCACTCGGCCTTCGGCCTCGGCCTAACCTGCGATCAGGCCTATAAATAAATAAATAGGCCTGATACAAACCTTAACAAAAGTCCATGTTTTTACAACCGTATTTCGGTTGTAAATCTGATTGGTTTATGAGACAAATGATTTTTTAATCTGTCATTTGATTGGTTGGTGCTAATTAGATTATATTATTGTCGTTGATATATTTATAGTGATCACAACTATAATTAGATTGTTGTTGCCGTTGTGTGAAATTTAAATTTCTCCTGCGACATTTTGATTGGATACTAAATATAAACTTTGCTGTGGGTGGAAAGCGATCGCATTAAGGATTGTGTCAGGCTATTATTTGTACAATAGAGCCTGATCTCAGGTTAGCCTCGACCCGCTTCTGAGACCGCGGAAAATTTTTTTTTCGGCACGGACCTCGCAGCCGGTAAATAACATGTATATACCATATACTGTACATGAATGTACCACACAATACCATATCAATACCATAATGTAATACAATATTTAACAATTATTCGCCGAAGGCGAGGTGATTATCGTTGAGGTGAATCAGTAATTGTTTTAGTATAATTTCATAGGTGATTATTTGGGGAAAAAACAGAAATACACATTTCTTCGTCATTTAATTGACAAAATCGAAATTAATATTATAATCACGTGTTATAATCACCTCAGCGGCAACCAATCAGCGTGGAGAATTGTCAATAATCACCTATGTAATTGTACTAAAATGCGATGTTGTACGATACCAAACGACACAGTACGGTGCAATGCGATACCATACCATACGATTTATTTAAATACGGGAGCATGGGAAAAATTGCTCAGTTTTATAGACTCGTGTTAACAATACTCGACTATCTAGTGCCCTGCATGTATGTGCGAAATATAAAACAAGAAAATTGTATTTACACATTTAAGACTAATGAGAAAAATATTAAAAATTAAATACTGCGCATCTCGCACCCTTGCAACCGAAATGTAGACAACCGGAGTAAAAATCTATTTTGGAAACTAGAGTAGGAAACTCTAGGAGTTTCGCAAGTTAAGAAGTCAAGGAGTGAGAATGTTTAGTATCAATAAGCAGTTCAGTCCAGAAATGAAAAGTGCTGTAAGAATAGGAGTTGTGTAAATATAAAGTATTTATAAGCGAACTTGCTCAAATTAAATTCAGACCACTATTTCTAAGATTATAACGCAAAGTTCTTGATTTAAGAAAGTTTTGAACATATTGAGCTCCATGGAGTTGTGTATTTTAAATGTCATAATAAGTGAATGTTCAAACTGTCTCTGTTACAAGCTGTGTAAGCAATGACGCCATATTCAAAACCAGTGGCGGACACTAGGGTGGGGGGGGGGGCAATAATTTTGAAAGACTGTAAAAATCTTGTACCAAATAACACAAATCACACTCATATAACGTAATTGTCATCATAATATAATAATATATGTTTCTGTTCTGTACATGTCACAACATACGCATTTTATACACTCTTTTGACGGATACTTGGGGGTCAACTTTTTGCAACAGGCACTTCTTTAAATGTCATTGTCGAGTTTTTGTTGTTTGAAGCTTATACTATAATAATTGTTTAGCTGCGAAATTTCCTGCTGCACAATAATATTTTAATGCGTATTAAACTCTCAAAAACAATGGATAATTCAATTAACATTCCAATTTTATGTTAACAAAATCAAAAGCGTGCGCAATTTTTTGTAGTCACAGTGCAATTTTCTGTAATCACAGTGCAAAAATCTGTAACAAACTGATCTGATTGGTGGAAAAACATTGTGATGATTAAATCAACCAATCAGTTTAAAGCAATTTAGTTTAAAGAAGTAACGGTCACAGATTGCTTCAAAACAAAGCAAACATGGCGCCGCGCTACACAAAGTAAAAGTTGTCTTCGCGTGGAAAATATGGCTTTTATCTTTATTTTTAAATGGAAAAGCATTTACCTTAAACAAGACTAACAAAAATTACATAGTTGAGTGGAATTTTCAAGCTGTTAGCGTTGTATAATGTGATATAACAAAGCCAGGAAAACTTTGCCAGTGGAATGTTCGCTATAAACGCGTAAGTTAAAACTACAATTGTCTCGAACATTTTTATGTAAATTATTAATAAGTAATAGCATGGTTTCTCGTGAAATTTGGGTAAACATGCACTCGTGAGTTTTTCAAAGACCTCAAATAGCACTCGTCCTTCGGACTCGTGTTATTTTGAGGTCTTTGAAAAGCTCACTCGTGCATGTTATATCCAAATTGCACTCGAAACCATGCTATTACAGTACCTATACTTAGCATGTGATTTATAACAAAACGCACCATTAAAACAGTGTTTTGAAACCCTAGTTTTTTACAAAATGTGCTCTCAGAATGCTGCAAATGCTATTCCCCGCATTTAAATTTTAAAACGAGCCCCCCCCCCCCCAACATTTCGTAAAGTGTCCGCCACTGTTCAAAACTGTTTCCTAGTCTAACCACAGGATATTTTTATCATGCATGCTTTATTTGTATGTCGTGTTAAATGACAAATGGAGTTCCTGAAAATTCTGGGTTCTATTTTCAGTTGTAAAGATGCATGTAAAGATCCATCATGTTCGCAACCATTTGGTATCAAAGCTGGAGGAACTGAGCCTATTACCATACCTTACACTTACCAAGTGCTGTTCACGGTGAGTTCATCATGACTACTCAAGCACAAATAATTGTCATTTATAAACCTGAAGCGAGTGGAATTCGGCGAAATATTACCCGAAGTGATGATATTTATTTTTGGATTAACGCAAGTATCGTCGCTTTTCTTTCGAATCACATATTGTTTGGAATATTGATGACATCATTTTTCGAAATTTAATTGCTTCAAATTTTCAAAAAAAAACGAGGTTTTTTAAGTAGTTAAAAAAAATTAATAATTAGCCTTTCTCACGCCGCCATTTTTGGGTGGCAATTCAGCCGAAGAGTGCGAGATAAGTCCACATAACAGCGACTATTTATAATTTTTTGGACGAATGATGGTAAATTTGCTTTGTAAATGGTTAGTTTATTTTGAAAAATTACTTTTCACATTGTTTTAATTGCCTGCATTGGTTAACGAGAATTAGAAGCCACCCAAAAATGGCGGGTATTCGTCATCGTGAGAAAGCCTAATTCATCCTTAGTGTATTTTGTCGGTCATCTTGTTTGCGTGATCGCCGCGCGTGGTTTACGCGAACATGTCACCCGGGTGACATCATGGAGAATATAGATAACACCAGAGGAGGCATCGAGGTTAAAATTAGTGAACGCGGCTAATGGGTGGGGGGGGGGAGGGGCAAATTTAGGTCCCGGATATAAAATCATGCTCTCATTGGCTAAATTGAAACTCCTCACCAATGCGAACATGAGTACACATCCGGGACTTGAAATTTGCCCCCCAATAGCCTTCCTTTTTTTTGCTTGATGCCAGAATTGCGATGCCCCTTCTAGTGTTATTTATAATCTCTATGGATGACATGATCAAATACGATGACGGAAGGGGCGATTCGATGATAAATTTCATGCTCACGTGACACTTTCCGATTGGACACTTTGAATTTGAGGTATAATAATATTACATGTTATTATATTATATGCACCGTATTTACTCGTTTAAGCGCCGACCCCGATTAAACGCCGCATATGAGAGCAAAATTATTGTCTGAAAAATTGTTCGTCACGCCCAACCACCGAAGGAAAACACCCTGGATACAAGGTTGGCGCTTAAACGAGTTACGTGAAACGGAAAACTACGCGTTTGGAAGCCCGATGGCATTAAGCTAACAGCGCGTCATGAGTTACTTATACAAATATATTATTAATGATCTTTTGTTCTTCTATATAGTAATTTTTTTTTTATATCTAGTCAAACACCTCAATCAAGTGGGCATCCCGTTGGGATTACATTTTGGAATCCATACCGCATACAAGTATCCAATGGTTCAGGTTCGTATGCCATTGCATGTTCACAAGCCCTGAGAACAATTATACCGTATCGTGGATATTGGACATGACTCATACGAGCTGCATGCAGTATTTTCATTTCAAATACGTCTAGTGTTGTGGCAATGTGTGTCCACCAAAAATGGGGCTAATCACATTATAGCAGAGTTCAGGATTTCTATTTGATTGATGTTTTTTTGGCAATATGCACCGTGGAGGACACGTTTATTTTTTGTTTGAAATAATTCTTGATTTCTGATTGCCTTAAGGTACGTTTACACGCTGCGATTTGTCGGGCCGATTTTGAAAAAAAATCGATGTCCCTTCTTCGACATTTAGCGATTTAAACGTTCAATTGAAGCTGTCCGCTCTCTCGTCTGTTCATATTATAGTTTTCTGCGTGCGAAAAGTTTTCAACAACTTTACAACGGAAGAAAAATCGTTGAATCGTGAGAAAATCTGTGGTTTTGTTACAGATTTTTCTCCCGATTTTGTGAATCGCAATGTGCTGACGCGAGTACTCACGACAGGTTGTTTACATACAGCGAGCAAAATCGGCCCGACAAATCGCAGCGTGTAAACGTACCTTAACACCCAACGTTGAAGATACCATTTTAACTGATTGGTTGACCAAATTTGGAGTTGTGAGCTGTGATGTCAATACGAGTAAAAATTACTGCACGATTGACGTCAACTGGTGCAATATGACGTCATTCCATTAATGCAATGTTTCATTGTGAATAAAAACATAATGACTTCCAGGGCTTTCAAGATAACCCGGCGGCCGCCGGAGTTCCGGCGGGTGGCACGAGGTTTACCGCCGGTTACTTTGTTTGCTACTTGAAACATCAATTCTGCTCTCTTTCCTCCATTCTAAGCTTTCAAACAAAGTTCTTTTTCCTCAAAATAGTCTATACTTTATAGCCTGGTTATTTTCGAAAACGACGTACTATTTCGTAAAATTGATTTAGTTATTTGCCATCTTATTGTCGATTTCGTGTCACTTTTCAACGCGCGGTTCCCAAGTTCGTTGGCAACTTGCCAATTACGTTTCCAAGTTCAAATATTGGGCGTGAACTTCGCAACAAAGATCGCAAGTACGTTTCAATGTTTGAACTATTGTAAACAAATATTCATAGTTCAAGATGAAATAACCAATTCAATGAAATACAAACCTTCTTGGTAGCCCACTCGACCAAGAACTTTCCTTTGAATTGTTAATTATTATTGAGTATGAACATTTGTTTACAAACGAAGTTCTAACATTGAAATGAAATTTCGCGCCCAATTTCCGAACTTGGAAACGTAATTGGCAAGTTCGCAACAAACTTGGGAACCGCGCGTTGAAAAGTGACTTGAAATCGACAATAAATTTAGTTGAAGAATGAAAGTAGTGATACATCATAATTTGTGTTGTGTTGCTATCTAATCAATGTACCTAATTAATTTGGACCTAACTAGACCGTCCCCGCCCTACAGCCGCCTACTTTATCAAAACAGACACCTACTCTGAATAATTCTGAAAGCCCTGGACTTCTCATTTGGCCGCTTGCAGACTTTGGGAAAGCAAAATTTAAAAAAAAATCTTGAAATTTCCAAGAAATAACAATTTAGTATTATATGTTGTAATACATGTATTCTTATTTCTAGCATTATGAATTCTCTTGTGATCGTTCTCTTCCTATCTGGCATGGTGGCAATGATTATGTTGAGAACCTTACACAAAGATATTGCTCGATATAACCAACTGGACACCTCCGTAAGTTGCACATATAGATTTGGGTAAATTTGTGTACATGTTTCTCAAATAAGATTGTACTTTCACTCAAAATTGCGAAACCCTATATTTTTTGCTCACATCTGTTACCAATTCACCCATTCACAATCTCCTTCCAAGTTGTATTAAAGGTACTGTAGCAGTTATATAATATAATATAATTAAATTTAATTATAAAACAAGATGGGCAATAGCAGGAAGCGGTTAAAATTTATCGGTCAAAAATATAATCCCAAACATTAAGAATTTACGGGGAATAATAAAAGGTCTCTGTAGATATTCTCAACTTTCTTTCATGAATTTGGTCAAACATAATTTTTGTTGCCACTTGCCTTTAGAAACGCATCATTTGCAGTCCTTGAAACTCAGGTCCGCATTCGGCAGTGCCGATCTAATTGCGGAACTGCAAAGCGATACTATAGATTTTGGTTGGCAAAACCTTTTGGTAGGCAAAACGCACTTTTCATATACACGTTTTGTAGGACAACTATATACTACAATTTTCAGTTGAGCGTGATTGTGGTATAGTTGTGTCGCATTATGTTTCGACGACAGTATTTTAGGGTTTTGTTCGCCAGTGATAGATATAAAATCAATTTTTGACTTGCATGTTGTCTATTTTTTCGAAAATGTTTGGCGACGTAGCTAGATTAAGAACGATCGTTTTCAGGTCGGCAATTGCTGGCCGACTTGAAATTTCAGGTGTTTCAAGGGCTGCATTTGTTATTATTGTTTTCCAACATCTCAGGACGATGCGCAAGAAGAGTTTGGTTGGAAACTTGTTCATGGTGATGTTTTCCGTCCTCCTGGCAAAGGCATGCTACTCTCTGTCATGTTGGGTACTGGTACTCAGGTTGTCACTATGACTTCAATAACACTTGGTAAGATATGTTTAAACCTTCAATGTATAGAAAGCACAATTTCTTTTGCTAAAATTAAAGAGATTGATTGCGTATCTAATATGTGTCAGCCTAGAACTCATAATATATAATAATACGTTTCATCGTTTCTAACTTTCTTCCTTGATCATTACATAGTGTTTGCTTGTCTTGGATTCCTGTCACCAGCAAATCGTGGAGCACTAATGACTACTGTTTTGGTAAGCCTCCTTAAAACAGCTGTATATTAAGAACTCGCCTAAATAGTTATATTACATGTAGATGTTGTTACTCCGAGTATAGATCAACACCAGCAAGCCGACTGAGATTGGTTGACCGCGTTGAGAACCTATAGCCCGCGGTCCTTCGGTTTCTGGTTCAATCCCCTACCACTCGGAACATACAGTATATTGCCTCTGTATTCAATGAGGCAGCTATATACGGAATGAGAGATACAACTACCTTAAAATATACGCAGAACTTCCAATCGACGTTTCGGGCAAAGACCCTTCGTCGGGAAATTAGTAATCAATCCATATTTTCCATATATCTGTATTCAATCCATATTTGTAATATGTGTGGCACAATAGTTGGGTTT